TGTCATTCGTGTAAACAGTGCAGTCGATGTTGATGTCACTAAATGGGGACGTTATACTGCTGCAGGTGCGCATGTCGGTCAGCAGTTTGGCTTTGAATTTTCTTCACGAGCGAAGGTTTGAAATGTTTTAAAGGACAACCTTGCCCACGAGTAGGAGCAATTTGCAAACAAATTGGTACCACGCCCCAACCTTGCATATATATGCAATATACACATAACTCTGAGCAATGCTGTGAGCCATGTGAAGACATCTGACCGTTTTACAAAAAAATACCGTGGAAATAACGATTCAGCAATATGTGAAATGAACCCTATCCTTGTGATGCCCATAAATAAAAAAAAGTAAAATTAATTGCACTGCATATTACATAGCAATGTATTTCATTCAATTAGTTTCAATGGCCTTTGATACTGCTGCAGTGAGATAACACCAGACAAAAAAAGACAAGAGAACATGAAATACCAGATTAGGTTAAACCTCAACAGAAAATATATGTGTCTAATTAGGTAACCAAACATCGGCGAAACATCAAGAAGAGCACAACACACATTTTCCAGTAGACGACTTTAGTGCATTGTCGATCGCAAGGACACCACATTGAGACCAATCGAGAAGGAAGTGAGGCCACAGCTACTTCTGGCACATCTACTATTAACAGCCCTGAGTCAGTCGTGGACATTCCACATTGCTTTGGTGGGGGGTGAGTTCACGCACGGAACAACCACTTGTGACTTCCCAAAAAAATGGTAGGTGCGTATGTTATCGACCTCAGAGGAGTGGCTGGCGTGAACTCCTCCAGGATGAATAAGAGATTCTGATTCTGAGTCAACACCCCAGCCAGGATTGCGAGCCACTTGCTCTATCCCTGAGCCACCTGGCTGGATTATTTGTGAAGGAAGGGAAGGGTTAAACGCAATTCTATTTTAATTCAGACGCTCCCCCCCCTCCTCTCTCGACCCCTACCCCCCGAGGCACAATACCTATAAATGTCATGGGTTTCCCAACGGATTACACAACCTGTTGTGCTGGTGGGCTCACAAGGCCTGCCTACCTTAGGCATTCACATCTGTTTAATGGCTGGTGTGCACCAGGTAACATTGCTCCCTTCTCCACATTACCGTAAACAATCCGACTTGGCGAGGATCATTACGAATTACCAACTGTTCAAATGGCCTTCTTTTGCCAGTACACTTTTAAAGTGCGTAAACATGCCGCATTTTGTTTCTGTTGACGTTGCAAATTTCCGGTTAAGGAAAACAACCGCAGGCCTATGTAAGCGCGGGGCGTGACCAGAGAAAAGTAATCTAAAGTTATTTGCAGAATGTTAATTGCTCGTTAATCCCACCGGGCTCCGCAGTAGACGCTGCCACGAGAGTGCGGCGAGGTGCATGGGTTAAACGTTGCAAGTTAAAATCTTGGTCGTGCAACGAATTAGGTCATCACTTGTCTGTGGTCGATACAATGAGTACTCGCAATTGTGGAAATGCATCACCATTGTTGATGCGATGTAGGTTGGTTGATATTCAGCATAGGAGTATGGAACTTCCAGCTCTGGCTCAGGACTTCCAAGAGAAAACTAATAAGTAATGATTTAACTAGATCATATATTTTTACCAGGTACGGCCCACTGAGCTATATAGCTCTTGTTCAGAAGTGATCTGGCCACAAACAATAGCTCAACGAAATGGCGTTGTGCATTTCCAGTGTATACCTGCATACCCGTGACCTGGAGAGCAAAAGACAATGGGGTCCTTTGCAAATCCCACATTGAGTTGGGTACAACTCAATGTGGGTGACCAAACATTCTCAGTGGTGCGAGTGCTATTAGGTCATGGAATTAGACGCCCCCCCTCCACACCCTTCCACACACACTCAGCTGCCTGCCACTTTAAGTGGCCAACTCTTTCTTCCCCAGCGATCGCAAGGCGCTCACACGAAGGATAAATTTACCTGTGAGAATACCTCACCACCCCCCCCCCCCCCCCCCCCCGTGAGATCGTGGCCAATAATAAACTCATGTGAATTGCTGCAAAAGACTGGGGGGATTTACGTGGCTCTCATTGCCATACGCAAGAATCAAGAATAGATCGCTCAAAAAACTAATCGTGGTAGCAGCAAATCCACAATTCAGCGAGTGGGCGGCTTAGGTACACGCAAGCTGTACGGTGAGGCTCATGTTCAAGCGCAGCCTTTTATTATTTTATTAATACACTGCTGCATGAAGGCATGTACATACGTATGATGAACTTCTTTCGCAACGTACACATCATCTGTACATCACGCGCGTAATGGGGGTCATTTGACCATACTTCACCACCCCGATAATTATTGACGGGTTGGTGAAGGTGGGGAGCACAGAAGTGGGAGCATAGTAGTACAGTACAATACGACAATCGATTTTGCTGCACATCTCCTCTGTTGTCGACCACTTAGGACCGCAGTCCAATTCACTTTGACCAAGGTCAGGTCAAAGATTACAAAGTCTCCCTGCTCTCATCCCTGTTGGCTGCCCTCAGACAGTGGTGGAAACTCCACATTACCATGGCATCCTTTCCATACTCTCCACACGACGACCACTGCGGGTGTCTTTATTCAGCGACGCTTCACATAGTGTCATGTTCACAATAGAATGGAAATATCTGACAAATTAGTGGTTGATTATAACATCACGTTTGTGTGTATGTACATACACTGTTCTCTATTGTATAGCAGATGGCGAAATAATGTGGACTTGCCTCCATGCCTCAGAGTTAATTTACCACATAATCCTTCGATAAGCCCCTCAGACCGGTCGACGGAGTCTGCTGAAACACGTTAAATGCCTCCCAAGGTCTGTGCCTCCAAATTAAAATTTGTGTTTTGTTTACTTGAGTGCATGGCCCGATTTTTATTTTTATTTTTTACTCCGTTGTCACGCTATTTTAACAAACGCCAAAACCGGTCATTATATTGGGCAAGCAATGACGTGAAAGTGCAGGCTGGAAACCGATTTATTTTAACATCTTACAATTTCATTTCGCTACGTTGTTTCGCGAAACACACGCCTTAAGAGCGGTGTAGCGGTTCCCAGTCAGCCCGTCCACCCTGTCGCCCATTTGAGTGTTTTCATGGATGCATGTTGAACTTCTTTTGCACCGTACGTAGCCAACCGTGCTAATCGGAGGTGAGGTGGAAGGACAACAAACTAACCACAAAAAGCAGTCAATCTAGACGATGTGAAAGTGCATAGCTCCAGTGGCTTCCTAATACATCTACAAATGTTTTTTTTTACACTTAACAAAACATTATTTTTGTTACTAATTAGTCGTTTATATGTTGCGCGATAACAAATGGCAAAAGCACTCTCTGTGTGCTGCTGCATCGGTGTTGGATTTGAATCTTGATGGGACCACACTCTGCGAAACCACTTTGCAACCAGCTGCGGGTTTGCCTCAACCACCCGGAGTGCTGCACATCTGTTGCGTATTCCTACGCGCCATCAGGTCATGCCTAGCCCATTACGCATCTGCGGCATTACTCTTATTCATTAATTATTCTGAAAGAAATACTCCTCGTATGTCAGGATTAGCCTCGCCTGCCCACTGGCATCGTCTGTGGGAGGCCTGTGGAGATGAAATATTTTCAAAGAATGGGAAATACCTGCTCTTACTGCTGTACTTGGATTGGACAAATATGTTGTACTTCGCATTGCCTCTGCTTAAAGGTGTGCACCAAATGAAAACATTGACGTTAAAACAAGACAAATTGGTTAAGCACATCATATTCCCATTTCCAATGCCACTTATGATGACAACCTTCTCAATTTGACTTCTTTCTACTTTTTCTACTTCACAATTGCCAGTTATATTTTGATGCTACCGCAAAAGATCAAAACGCCTTCGCACACGTGTCCTTTCCTCTCACCCACAAAGCCCCATGATGTCGCAATTCCCGAATAAGAGAGAGAGAGAGATCTTCCCAGTGAACTGAAACATTATTTTGCGCTCCTCAGCCACGTCCGTCTCATTTCGCTATTTTTAGAGCAGCGTATGAATCGAGTCGGACAATGTTTTTACTTTGCATTACACTCAATCATTGACTGAGTTTGAGAGGCATCAGAATCTTTGGTCATGGACACACTTCTGCCCTCAGGATACAATTTATATTTTTTTCGATTCTCAGCCCCAGGGCTTGAGACTTGGAAATAACGGAGATTCTGGCATGGTTGAAAAGGAGGCCCCCAGCTATACACGGCCTCCAATAGTCATTTAGAAGATGCATGGGTAGGTCCAGCCTCCATAGGTAAAATTGCCAACAAAAATAGCTCTCGTGAAAATAGATGTTAAGGAAAAAATTAAAATAGGAATGTGCCAGTGTCCGCTTGTATAAACGTATGTTTCATAATACAAATGTCTGTTGTACCATATATGTATAAGAAGCCATTGGTTAATGTCACTGCTGGTGAAATCTGGTTTTGAGTAGTGCTGTTAGAAGGTTGAGAGTTGAAATCCCAGTGTGGGGTTAGTAAAATTATACCGTACCATGGCAATTCAGCATTCTTTGATATGTGGATAGACTGGCTCTTTGGAATAAGAATGTGGTATTTCTATCGTTGGCTAAGTGACACCAATGGATTTGAGTTCTTCTTCAGTGCACAATGCAGCATGGAGGCACTAGCCATTTTAATAGAACTCATTGGCTGTAATTATTAGTTTCAAAAGTCTGCTGGTGGCATGCATATAAACAATCAAATCTGGAAAGAGGATAATTAAGTATTTGAAATTTGAAATCTACCACCTTCCTTTGATCTGAAAATTTTCTAAACAATGTACCGCATCTGTTACAGGCACAAGCGAAATTAATCCGATTTAGCCCTCGCAAACATCACAACACACACGTCGTGTCAGGCAGCAGCCCCAGAAAAGGATTCATCGAAGGAATAATCCAAAATCTCAGTCGGCCAACTTATTCCATGGCACATGAAGCGTTCGTCTTAATTTGACCGGCGCGCGTTCCTTACTCTGTACGGAGAGCTCGGCATGAGCTTTGAGGGTCTCATTTTCACCGGTCACCACACACTGGTAAATCCCCGAGTCTTCCACAGCGGCCTCGGAAAACCTCAGCTGTCCATTCGGCAGCATGGTCACCCTGCCGGAACTGCAAAAAGAAACAATTCACGAGAACTGTTAGCGAACGAAGACTTCTCACGGCACGAGCGTGTTCCTAACAGGAAAGTAAATAAAGGAGCCATTCAGAATAGCTTGGGGTATTTCCTACCGCTGCTCGGAAGGTCTTTCGGAAATTTGCTATAGTTTGGCTCTCTTGTTGATCCTTTGGCATTTACACAGAATCAGAGTAGAATCCAGGCAGGACACATTGCTAGCCAGGGTGGATGGCCGCTGGATGAGACCGGTGATGGAACGGGAGCCAGTGGACAGAGTACGTTCAAGCGGACGACCGCTGTGGAATGAAGGAGCGATGAGATCAATTCATGTGCAGGAGTGAAAACCAATTAACTATTGACTAACTCAATAGCTATTGTTCTGAATCGATCTGGCCACAAATCATAGCTCAACAAAGTGGCTTATCACGTGGACATTTACAGCAGCCAGATACTCTAAACGCATGTTGATTCTAAATGTGGAGTGTAGAACCGTCAGGGTCGGGATCGAACACAAGAACTCCAGGCGAGGTGGTTAACATCGCAGGCCACCATGTGTACGAGTGAGATGAATGGGAGCCGGCACTGGACTGTGAGAGATGGCGGTGTGGAGAGGCCTTCATTCAGCAGCGGATAGACAATGGCTGATGATCACGACCAGCGTCCAAGAGCGTGTTCCTTTCGTGCGCGGTCGCACTGCCTTCCCGGCGCTGCAGACTCTCTCCCCTGTTTTGCTCGAGGCTAAAATGTGAACGTTTCCATCCCGACAGTTGCAAGCGCCACTTGTGCGAGTGATTGGATTTTCACAAAGTCGCAACACACAGCACAAGAGATTCCGCTCCACACCACCAGCCTTGTAACTGTCGATGGCGTGTGGACGAGGGAGATTGGGACACGGTTACATACGTACATCTTCAGTGGAAAATACTTAGCGATTATCCCCTGTGATAGAGACTAAAATGTATCAACAGGGGGTAAGAATAATACTGTGAAGATGCAGCAAAAGGCATGGAGCATTAAATAATGCAAACATAAGGCTGTTCTTGTATCAAGTAAAAGTTGATTAACATAACCATATTTATTCGTTTGTAAATATTTTAGTGCTACAGTACCGTACGGTATGTGAAAATTGTGCTAAGCAAAGATGAAAAATGCGAACGAACTCATTTATGAGTCTTTAAAATGAGTAATGGGGACATTATTGTGTAGATGGCCTTCAATTTTGTACGATTAATCTCATTGATGGTTTTATACCAAGATGTCACTTTTAACAGGGTATAATATACCCAGACGTAAACCTGGATGACATGAAGTTGAATAAGAGGGATTATAATCACTCAAATGAGTGGGTGTATGAAGGTTCTCACAGCAATGGCATAGCAGAATAAGAATATTGAAAGTTATAAATTAACAAGCTGCATGGCGCTCTAGTTAGTGTGCTTGATTAACAGTTGGTATAAATTCAAATCCTGGTTCGGGATTGATAGCTTCGTATCTCTCTCGACTCATCGCATGGATTCATCAGTCCCTGTCGTTAAACCCGCCACCACCCGACACAGCTAATTGGTAAGGTTTGTCACCTAAACAAAAACGTGCCAATTATTCACGGGTTCAGCACACCTGTTTATCGGAAAGTACTCGCATTGCATTAACACATGCAATTAACCCTTGTTGACATGAGCGGTAACAGCGTTTTGAATACGTGAACAATAATGACAGTTGAGAGGTAAAAAAAATTGACAATTTTCTGTTCGGTATTCCCCAAGCAGGCATGCATGACCCAACAGCATTAGCTAATGCAAAAATTCAATATTTATTTCGCCAAGCCCCCGGAGCTTCGGGCTTTTCATTTCACCTAATGGAGTTAAAGTGCTTTGTGTGCGGGTGCTGTCATTCGGGACGCGTACATCAACAGCTAGTTCTTTTCGGCCACGTCTTTCGAGACAAATAGATTGCCGACACATTCCCAAAGTTGGTGCGTCGGGTACACTCGGAGAAATGATGCCGAACGTATTTCCCCGTCATTTAAATAACTGAATATCTATATACTCTAATACACACCACGCAATTCCCTTGCTTGCCCCCATATTGCACTGGGATATAATGAATAGGATGAATAGGACCACGAATAATGGGAGATTTTGAAGACCCCAACAGCTCGCGTGGATCATAGGAGTGGCGGGTAATAGGATAAGAAGTTGCAGATAAGAAGAGGCATATTGTAAACATCAACTTGACCACAGATTTAAGATAACATGCACAGTACACTGGAGCTTATTTTTAGACGTTTTCCGAATGCTTAGTTAATATGTTTTATGGATTCTGCGTGCTTGGTTAAGTAAGACAACTGTTTGAGCAGGTGAAGGATAAATATCATGAAATTTAAGTAAATAACAGTCAAAGCGGCTCAAGCGACTGTAAAAATAAGTCGAGCAGCTTCTGAATAAAATGACGTAAATTCTAAATAAATATGGGTGGTAACTCGTAAGCTAAACAAAGCAACCGTGCCAGCCTCACAAACAGCATGACCCACACACGATGAAGTTACATTCAACCATGCAGTCCCGAATGATAATAAAACCTCAGAGCCCAAGGATTAAATACCCGAATTTCCCCTCCAAGAGCTAACCAGGTTCAACGCTGCTCAGCTTCCAAGATCTGGAAGGACTGAGCACATTCTGGGTCATTTGATCGTATCAGATAGATGATGTCCAAGATGCATGAAAAAGAGTGAGCATTTTAACACGTAGGTTTTTGCGATCGATATTATTCATAATCTAGGTTTTTTGGGTTAGATCGCGTAGGTATAAATGTGTCGTAACCCGCCACCACCACTCGACACAGCCAGTAAGCTTTGTCACGTAACAAAAGGTGCCAACTAGTCACTACTTCAGCCCACCGGTGTGTTGGAGAGAAAATACACAACATTTACAATTTGAATACGACGTTTCTGGCAAATCGCCAATGATGCTGGATGTAATTACCAGCGAAACGTCGTACTCAAATTGTAAATGTTGTATATTTACTCTCCGAGCCAAATGGAGAAGACAATGCCGAAAATCGGACCCTGCGCCACAGCGGGAACAACGCTAGGAAGAAGAAAAAGAGTATATTTACTCTCCAACACACCAGTGGGCTGAAGCAGTAAGTAATTGGTACCTTTTGTTACGTGAAAAAGCTTACAGGCTGCGTTGAGTGGTGGTGGGTTACGACACATACTTACGCGATCTTACCCAAAAAATCTTTATTATGAAGAGTCAGCATTGATTGCGGATTCTTTAGATAGTCCAGGCTGTCCAGAATACGTTATCAGCCGCTCACACTGGTGGTGGTGGTGGGGGGGGTATAGCATTCGTGAAAATATAACCAATAGCTTATTCCCAAAAAAATATAACGAAATAATTTCTCAATGTCTGTAACAATTTTTCAATTGCAATCACCGTCACCCACAGGCCACTTTAACGCAATTACAGTGACACTTTGTAGCACCTGCCGTCAGCGTTCTTTATGGGAAAAAAAATCAGTTTTGTCTACAACTAAGGTCATTTTTTAAATCAGCTGGAGTGAAAAAGCCCCCTTGACAAATATGCCAATCGTAATTTCGCTTTCGCTACTGTGTATATGTGGCTCGAATTCGACAGCGCGATGTACACTTCTCTGTTTCCTGTGAGATTCATCAATCGCAGCAACCGCCTTTGTGAATAAAATAAAAACGTATTGTTGGGTTTTAGCAGGCGTCAATAAAGGATGCAAATGTTGGAATCTGCTGCCTCATTAATCATGTGTACAGTAATTGATACGAACAAATTATATTCAGTTCTACTGCTGTATCTTTCCACCTGATGACGATTGCTTGTGTTACGATCGAAACGTCGTGATTTATCATTTATTTTTCTACCTACGTGACTTTACCGAAAGAACCGAAGAGTATGGATTGCTGCAGCCACGAAAGCTTCAAATCAAGATTGATATTCACTAGGTTTGTGCAATTGCCAGAATAAAGTGTCATTTAACCACCTTCTGAATTGGTGTACCCTCGTGGCATTTGTAACACATCACAACCCCTGCATTGGTTTCACTTGCATAAGCAGCCCAATGTTATAGCCAAGCGCCATGCATTAAACGCTCTGTGGCGCAAATACGATTTTCAGCAGAGTAAAACTAAACACTTAAAACGAATTGAATGCTGTTAATTAAATCTAATTAGAATAGAAATGAAGATGTAAGCAAGCATATTTATTAATAAAGTCAAAGCATCTTCCTGTTAACATAATACAAATAATTCCCTTTGTTTAATTTGAGGAAAGCCTGACTGAGCCTCACAACTGTTTTTCAGCAGGGTGCTGCATTCGGATGTTTGGCCAATTGCATGAAGGAGTATTCTTTAGGGTAGAGGAAACAGGAGTATCTGGAGAAAACCCGTCCTTCGGAGAATATAGGAAACACTCAAAGTGAGCGATAATTAGGGAAGAAATCAGTAGCACCGCCTGTGAAAAAAACATTCGTGTTACCAATCTAAACTAAACTATTTTTATTTTACCGGCTGAGGCCCACTGAGATACATAGCTCTATTTCAGAAGCGACCTGACCACCACAAATGATAGCTCAGGGAAGTGGCTCATCACGTGGAAATTTATAGCAGCCAAACGCTCTTAAAAACATGTTGATTCTTAATCTGGAGGGAAAAACTGGAGGACCCGCAGAAAAATCCACGCGACCACGGGGAAAGACACCAAAGTCCAAATATACAGTCGCAAGGGTCGGGATCAAACCCACGGCTTCCTGTATACCAGGCGAGGTAGTTAACATCTCCTAGCCACCGTGGCGCCCAGTGGACAAGACAACCTCTGTCAACTCTCGAGAAAGGGCCACTCATTCAAAAACAACTGCCGAGCAGGGATGACAGAGCAAGCCAAACCTCAACCGGGACTTTATTGCGAGTCACGCACTCATAACCACCGTGCCGCCCCGCCCCCCCCCCCCCCCCTCGGGCCACTATCACGCGTGCACCGCGATCGGCGAACCGCGAGACGGCGTGGCTCCGAGGAGCGCGCTTGCTACCTTTCCCGGACGGGGTGACCTTCCTTGAGCCAGCGCAAGCTGGGACGCGGGTGGCCGCTGACGGCGCAGTCCAGGGTGGCGCTCAATCCCGCCCGCACCGTCACGTCGCTGGCGTGGCGCAGAAACACGGGCTTCCGCGGGACGCTCGACTCTGCACGCCGCACACACACGCGCACAGCGACATTTCACGAGGGTTCCCCACGTCACGTGCGGCACAGGCAACCGCCAAAGCCACCGTGGGAGCGTCGTCACCCCCTCTCTCCCCCGCCCGGCTGAGTGCATACGGAGTTTTTATGTTGAGCTGTAAACCTGCAATAGCATTCGCTGGGAACAGTGATTTCCAGGGGACACCATCACCAGATGCGGTCACATGTCATGTCATAAAAAAATCTGTCCATGTCGTGTCAAGCAACTTTGTAGCAGCCAGGCCTGGGGTGCCGAGAGCCTTTTTAGCCGGCAGTTTCCAGGTTCATGAGGGGCCTTCTTAGGTACCGTAGTAGGCAGTGATGGAAATTTCCCATTTCTACGGTGAGTCGAATGCCAATAGGATAACAGCCGTTGACTTCCTCCACAAATTGGTGCCAATTGTAAATGATTCCAAAGCGATGATGAGACACGTAAACCCCCATTCAGGATTTAAAGTCACAACCTTTCAAATTGTGAAATGATCACTCTACAGCTGAGCCACCGGACCAGATAATCCTATAATCCAACACCACATTACCACCACAACCATCATCATCACCAGTATTATTTGAATAACAATTGTGTACTAAGTGTACCTATAATGAGGAATCAACGGTGTAGTTAGCCGGTGCTACTGTACTGCTATGATCATGCCCACAATGATGTTGTACCTCATTCATTTTATATCAATCGATGCAGGACATCTACCACTTTATGTATCTGTTGCAACAATTGAACACTAAGTGGGCAAGTCTTTCACGCTTGCTGAACAGGGGCATTAAGGCCCAAAAATGCCAAGCAGCCAGAAACAAACAGCGCTCATGAAGGAGTAAAAGGTAAGTGTTAACGTAACTCTTCAAACAAGCAATGCTATAAGAACTTGGGAAACGAGACGATAGGAGGCAATTTCAAATTCAAGCAGTGTCCTGGATTTAAGTTTGGCCATGCTACGCAGAGTGATTCATGTCCAACACAAGCTCCCAGTGTTGGTGTAACTGCCCAATCGCTTGTTAAGTACCAAGTCACGTGCTTCCGCAAGTCTGCTCTGCATGTGCTTGGTACGTCGTCGTGAAAACATGTCAATGTGTTTTTTTTATTCAATGCTCTCTGGAATTTGTCATGAATGATAGATTAAGGGGTTTTTTCCGAAGAAGGAGAAAAAGACATAGTTGCTACAGGGATTTAAAAACGATGGTAATGTAAACACACTTTTATCTTTAAAACACGTGTGTTTTTACGCACAGCAAACAGGCGCGGGATGAAAGCCAGGCGGCAAGAATCGTGACGACGCTTTGTTATTCATGAGTTCCCCGTGCTGTACATTTACGCAAAATAAACCATCAAGTCAAGTGCTGTTAGTGAGTTCCTATTAAGGCCAGCAGGGTACACGTGGGGGTGATGTATTTGGCACCATGCACTGCACAAGGTGCTTATATTAGGCTGAGTTGACCTAGGCGAGGCCCAGCCCACCACGTCCATTAGCCAGGAATTGCATTGAGTTGCCAGGTCGGGCAGAGCAGTGTGCTAACCACGACGCTTACGCACGCAAAACAAAGTTCCCTCCTCTTCTTGGTTCTTTCGGTAAAGTCACGTAGAATGGAAATAATAAAATAATAAAAATAAAACATAATAAAATTATTCTCACTGGAAATAATAAAATAATAAAAAAAACATAAGAAAATAATTCTCACTGGAAATAATACAAATAAAAGATAATTAAATTAGTCTCACTGGAAAAAATAAAATAATAAAAATAAAACAATAAAATAATTCTCACTGGAAATAATAAAATAATAAAAATACAACATTATCAAATAATTCTCACTAGAAATAATAAAATAATAAAAAATAAAACATAATAAAATAATTCTCCCTCCTCTTTAGCCCTGCTGGGGCAAGTGCCATTAGCTAGCACCCATCAAACGTGACATTGCACATGAATGGGTCATGTGACCAACAACCACACTCAACTGCACACACACAAAGAGAATGACCCCTTGTTTACTCTTAAAGACTGCATGGGCGAGTGTGGCCAGAGATGATCTATTAATGCCTGTGTAGACGGTGGGACAGGCACTACGCCTGGCTGCCTTTGTCTTCCCCAGTGCTGCTGTTCACACATTGCACCGAGCGATCATTAAAAACGAAGATGAACAACATAGCACTGGTGACAGGTAAATTACCACTCGACACTGATGTTATCCATGGCCTGGAATTTAATTCATATTGCCAGCTTCTTCTGCAGTGCAATGACCACTGTGCCACTGCTCCAAGAGAGAGACAAAGGTTCCCCGTACAGGCTACACACGCAGTTTGGTCAAGTGCTTTTAGCGAACACGTGAAGGTGGGCACAGTGCACGAGGGGGTCGGGGTGGCCATGCCCACGCCCGACCACCTTTGTCTTTCCAGTGCCAATGTTTATGCACTGCGCCGGACACTCAATGAAGGCAGAGTGGACCTAGGAGAGGCCTAGGACTAGTTCGGATATGAGCGGCCGTGAGTAGGAATCGAACTCGGGTACCACTACACCATTCCCCTGGCCTATACGCCCACGTGGAGCGCTGATTAACTGAACAGTACACACGCAGGTGGAGGGAATCACAATGTAATGCCACGGCTGCCTGATACATTTTCCTGCGGAACGGCGCATTTGAGACAAATTATTCTGCCCGATGCAGGGAGGGGAGGAGAGCCACGAAAAGACCAGGAGAGAATAAGCCGTTGTGTCTTCCCCCACAAACTCAACAGCGACAAAATCACCCAGCAGCGGTGTACGATCCCCCGAGACTCCTCGGCAATGGGAAATGCATAATTAAAATGTAAATTGTATGACGCGGGCTTTGAGATTGAATTAAACAAAACGGTCCGACAGGTGCGTTTCACCAAACTTTAAAGACGGCTCGGGGAGTTACAAAGAATGCGAACGCGGGATTAGCGCGTCGGGGTTCTCACGCTGGCGACGCACCCACGAAGGCGCGGGTTGCCGTGTGTTAGCGGTCCAATGATGGGAAGTGCGCAAGATGCACCACGCTCGCACTCCTGCGATTGTAAACAAAGCAGAGCGTTCATTCTGAGCCGGGGCGGCGTGCGATGAGCATCAGTCTTGCGAGGGTGAAGGTGCAGCCCTGCAATTGCTTGCTCATACCACCGCTATCAGAAGAACCTCCATGATAGGCAGCCCTCGAGAGATGTTCTAAAGCAGCGGTCCCCAACCTTTTTGGCACCAGGGACCGGTTTCGTGGAAGACAATTTTTTCACGGACCGGGGGGGGGGGGGGCGTTCATCATTGGGTCTTTCCCCCTTTTCAAAGAAGCTCTCCAACGACGTTTGTTTTGTACTCATTGTGGCTAGGGGCTAGAGCTTGTGGGCTCACCAAAACTGTGGCTGAGACAAGTGCGCGGTGCGGGAAAGAGGCGCGGAGGGAAGTGGTAAATAAAACAATGGGGGCGAGCCACGCGCGGACTCACCGCTCACCTCCTGCTGTGCGGCCTGGTTCCTAACAGGCCGCGGACCGGTACCAGTCCACGACCCAGGGGTTGGGGACCCCTGTTCTAGAGGACAATGGGCCTACTCTTCCACGCTGGCCAAACACCTTGAACGGGGTGGGAGCAACCACACTTTACCCCACCACCATAATTCACAACGTGTGAACATCTGCTTTGTTGCACGGCAAATTACTACACCTGGGGGACTTTCAAGGTTTACACTACTACTTTGTACAGGAGGATGTGTGTTAGAATATATACAAATGCTTGTCTAAAATACCACAAGAGCTAAACACGTGCAAATTATTGATTGAAGAAAAAAAAGTAACCTTAATATTATGAGGAGACAACAGACATCTTTACTAACTGTTATGAATGACCAAGTTGGGACTGGACAAGAAATGTAATTAGACATGATGACAAGTAAGAGACAACTTCAGTGACAGACTGACAGCACAGAGGGAGAAGACAGCCAAGGAGAAATGGCAAAGTAATCAAATAAGAGAACATGTGGTATGCGAGTTGGATTGGAATAAAACAGGGATAGCTGAGGTGAAAGTACCACGGTGAAGTGTCAATACAGAAGTGGATGCTCGAGATTTTTTTCCGCGATGGTGATATTGGGTTGCCCGTTGTTATTTGAATTATCGCAAGATGCATGCAGATTATTGGTGTGTGTGTTATACAAGCAATTTAATCTCCTACACTTGACACTGGAAGTCTCCAAGACAGTAATTTCTGCCTCAGTCATCACAATCCTAGAAACATTATCTGCATACAATTAGATTATGACCCCCCCCCCCTCGTGTTCTGCCACTTAATGATAGTGACCAAAGTGAACTGGTTTCAATCATAAGAAGACAATTTGAAAAAAGTCAGTGTCTCCAAATTTCAGTGTCCATTCAAAGTGACAGCGCTCACCTCAATGTCATCTTCCCGTGGCAGGCATTTGCGATGTGGCCCTCAATTTGTTTATCCCAAATTTGAGCGTCTCAGATGTGTAACAGGGGCAAAAAAAAAAAAAACTGGAAAGCCTGGAGAACACCCACAAATAATGACGCCCCTTTGCACTCACAGGACGTATGTAAGATGTTTCATGTTCATGTTTTTGTTTGTTGCGGTTGCACCCGATTCAAGAGCCGAATGGCTCACAGGGCTATACCAACTAAATGAAACTGAAAAAAAATGAAAATGAATGTGCGTATGTTGAACATCTTTCGCGCCGTACGTAGCCAACCGTGCTGATCGGAGGTGCCAATCGGAGTGCACGACACTAGGTTTGATCAGAAGTAGATCTTCTCGGAAATGTGTAAATCTTCCCAGGACATTGAAACTCCTGGTATTTGTCAGTTTGCAGCTGTCATTCCAGGAAATGTGTTTGCATGTAGGTCTCCTCGACTCTGGTAATGCGGGAGACTCTCCTTCCCATGAAATGTCCCAATTTGTGTCCCATGGAACGCCACACTCGCCCGTGCTTTTCATGCGAAGGTCACAGCGTTTCTATTCCTACGTTTCTATTCTTGCCGTACGGACGCCAGAATAGAAAACATTGTTAGCGGCGGCACCCCTGACATAGATGATACCACCTCCGTGGTCAGCAGGGGGGGGAGTATGCCGTGGTGTCATGGTTAGTTAGCACACTGGACTTGCAATCCCACAGGTTAGTGGTTTAATTCCATCTACCGGGCACGGCAATTGAAACAATGGCCGGGTTTCTTAAATCCCCAGCGTCTCTGTGGACCCAGCAGTACGAACCCGTACACCACAGTTAGTCGACTGGCAGGTTGCGTATGGCAGGATAAACTTTGGGTACTACCACCCCTTCCAAGACGCCTGACCAGCATGGAAGAGTAGGCAAAAATACTCTCTAGAGGCCTTCACTAGAGCTCGCTCGAGTGGAGGCCCTTTCCCGCCAGCAGTGGTGTGAGCGAGACATTTCAAGGCCGCACCTTTGACTTTTATCTTTACCATAAGCGGCACGAACACAGCAGGCCTTGGGCTTAGGCATCTGGAATGGCGACAACGCTGGGGGGGCGGTGGGCGACGTACCGGCTAGGACCTCGAGTTCGGCCTCGTCGCTGGCCCGCGAGCTGGCGATGTTTTCGGCCACGCAGCGGTACACGCCGGCGTCGCCCGCCTCCACGTGCTCCACCAGCAGCGCCCCGCCGGCCAGAAGCGCCAGCCGGCGCCCGTCGAGCGTCAGGTTCGCCCGGTCCTTCTGCCACCGCACGCCGGGCATCGGCTCGCCCCCGACCTCGCAGGAGAGGACAGCGGCATCGCCCACGTGCGCCGACATCGGCTCGGGCTGCACCGTGACGCGGGGAACTCCTGCGGTCGCGAGGGCGGCAGCGGCAGGGGTTGGGAGTGGAACGGATTGACTGTGTGTGCATATGTCGAGAACTTTTTCTTTCGCACAGCACGTGGCCAGCCGTGCTAATCAAAAGTGCGGGGAAGGACAACAAACTGAACACGACAAGGCAAGGGCACTTGACCGTTGGGGGCTGCAGGGTGGTGGCAGCGCGGTGGTAACACCCGAGGCTCGTGGCCAGGTCTGGGTTCGATTGCTGAGTCGGGGCGCCTTTCTGTTCGAGTTTGTTAAGTTCTCCCCCTATTCAGTACGGGTTACCCTAGGTTCTCTCTCGTAGATGTGTTTTTCACTTTTTTAAAGAGAGCCCGGCACAAAGCACAAACCGTACCAAAGGGAAGACGAGCACAGACACTCTATGGACAAAAGCCTGAACTCAGTGCTCCTGGGTGCCACATTAGTGGCACATTGTATCCGTCCACTTCCTAGACCTCCACTGAGTCAATGCATCCTCAAATCGGATACGAGGTATACTTTTAGAGCATCAGCAGTAGTGAGACAAAAGCAGCAGGGTGCAGTACTGGCAGGGCCGTCCATAGGGGGGTGCGGGGCCTGGGACAAATCAAAGTATTATATCTGACATGGTGACATCAAAGCGCGGAGCCTCCCCCAAAGCGCGGGGCCCGGGGCAATCGCCCCGATTCGCCCTGTACCCCAGGGACGGCTCTGAGTACCGGCCACAGCACGGTGCCAGTCCTAAGAGGTGCTGGACAGCACCACTTTTTCCTGCAGCCTGCCAGGCGAAACCGCGGCGCACTCGCCTTCGCATATGCCTGTGTGGGGTCACGTGTGTGCGGTGTGCGTGCGCACGCCTCGAGTAAACACGATGCATTCATATCAGCAAACAGCGACATCGACAGCTGTGTATATACGCCTACGCATATAAAAATGTGTTCATATGAAACTTGAAATTTTACAGTGGGAGTTGGGATAAGCTCTATACCAGCACTCCACTCACCAACAACCCATCGACAGCGTAACCACCGTGGATCTATGTTGTCGTCATATATTATCCAAGTGGCAAACGCGTGGCACGCAATATTTTTCCACATTGCAGTTATGCATTATTAAAGCTGTTAAATTATCCGGTGCCAGAGCTCATAATTGCTCATAATTGGAAGATCATAAACTCAAAACATCAACCCTCCATGGTCTTAAAATAGAATATCACTTTGTGATAAGTCAACAGCGGTGGCATCTGGTAAGAAACTAGCTCCCACCCTGTAGATATCCATCCTTTTTGTCAATCCCCACCGTAAACGTATTGGTGGTTATTTGACCAAACTCCACATTCTGGTCAGAGCAGGTTGGTGAAAGTGGGCAGCATATACATGGAAGCACAGTACAGGACAACAATGCATTTTTAGATAGTTCCATCGGCTGCGTACAGCGTAGCCCCACAGCAGCCAATAGCAACCAGCGTTATGCATGAAGGTCGCTCATCCAAGCATTATCCAGGATTAACTCTCCTTAGCTTTCAAGATCAGACAATATCAGGGCTCCCACCGTGAGAGTGCAGGAATCCGCGCTGCTGGCTCAGGTCAACCAAACGATGCGAGCACTCTCTCAAGCAAGTTTGAGCGGAGAAGGGTTTCTTTGTGATTTTAAATAGTTATATAATTGCACGGGCAGAGAGTTGTAAACCAATTCCGTGTCCCGTCCTGCCCCAGTGGGCCCGTAAAACCCCTCGGCCTTGTTGCGTGCCCGAGCCTGCGCCGCTGCGGTGACGACGACGAAGACGCACCACCCAACCTCACCGCAATCGCCCCGCGGGTCTCCTCGCCGAGACTGCGTCATCTAACAAAAGGGCAAGCTACGTCTGCCGAGACGAGACGGGCAAAAGTTACCATGGCTCGCCGCGTCGTAAACAAGCGGTGGGCTTTCAAAATAAGCCGCCGCTTCTCTCGGCCGCAAGCCGGTCGGGTTACCGTGCCACGAACGTAAATGAGCAGTTTTGTTTCCCAGTGCAAGTAAGAGGGCATCCAAGACGACACGCCCCGATAGAAAGTGTTGACACGACTACAGACCTTTTCAGCCTCCCAAGGATGAAGGTTAGTTGGAAGGGTTTTCTGGTTTATAATGAAAATGCTACCTTAAGAATTGAGTTTTCCCCCTTATAATATACGCAAACGACTGAAGCCATTAAAGTGTCCACTGAAAATAAGAAAGATGAAAAGCAACAATCTCCAAAAACACACGGGCATTTTCTTTTTTTCGTTAACATTGCAGAAAAAAAAACTATTCCATTAAATGACAATGTAAACATATTTTAAATGCCTGGCCGCATAGCTATATTAAACAGTCATTTCGAAATAAAGCATAGCTTTAGCAACAACAAAAAAACACCAGAGTTGGAGATGGGGTGGATATGTGGGAGTTTAAACAGCCTCAGCTGCGGCATTGAATCCAGCAGCACGTCATGCACCATAGGTCACGTTCTACACCGTAGGTCTACACCATGGGTCACGATCTACACCGTGGGTCACGATCTACACCGTGGGTCACGTTCTACACCGTGGGTCACGTTCTACACCGTGGTCACGTTCTACACCGTGGTCACGTTCTACACCATGGTCACGTTCTACACCATGGGTCACGATCTACACCGTGGGCACGATCTACACCGTGGGTCACGTTCTACACCGTGGTCACGTTCTACACCGTGGGTCACGTTCTACACCGTGGGTCACGTTCTACACCGTGGGTCACGTTCTACACCGTGGTCACGTTCTACACCGTGGGTCACGTTCTACACCGTAGGGCATAACGCGCCGCCGGGAATCGCGTGGCGCGTATCCCCTGGCAGTTTTAAACGGCGAGGAGCTTCCACTTTAGGCACGGGTGATCAAAGTCTGAGCTTCCCTCGTGTTATTCTTTCAGGTACTTGAATAAAGGACCTAGGTTTTGCAAGCATCATTGTGTTTTTTTTGCGCCCTGCGTTTAGAGGTTAGGCGAGTGTAAAACATACAGTCAGAGCAGGGAGTCCAGTCGGATGAAAAGCCATGTCTACGATCTGACAATGAAGGCGTATCTGAGACGACATTCCAATGCCATCATACCCACAGAGCTTTTTCACCCATTAAGAGAGTCTCTAACGCATATGAAAGACACTTTAATGTGGGGGTGTGTGTGCGTGCTCGCGTGCGAACGAGCGAAGGGAGCGGCTGCACAGTGGCTGGAACACTGTGACAATGCCACCACTCTCTGGCGAGTTTCATTCGCAGCCATGCACATCAGTGTCTACTGGTTCAATCAACTTGGCAATGAAGTGTGTACTGATGCTCTCTGTTTTGTATCGCGACCAATATGTAACCATGCTTGTGTAACTAATGTCTGTAAGGTCTATACCATCACAGGACGCCAATGGAATGAAGCCGAGAAACTCGTTGGACCCTTCCTGCTGAAATAAATAACATCTATCTACCTAAATTTCGATTTAAAGCGTTCGTGACTGCAGGGATTCATCTTTTTGGTTCTTTCGGTAAAGTCACGTAGAATGGAAATAATAAAATAATAAAAATAAAACATAATACAATATTTATAAAACATAATAAAATAATAAAATAATAATTTAATTATGCTTTATTTTTATTACTTCATTATTTCCATTCTACGTGACTTTACCGAAAGAACCAAGAAGATCTATCTACCTCTCACATTTAACCAAATTTTCTTGGAAAATTATTTGGTGATACTGCATTGGCAGTGGCACAATAAGCACAAATCACAAGCAAACAAACTCTGTACATTCGTCAATAACGCGGTTGTTAAACAGAAAAAAAGATATATAATTAGTGGCATTTCAGGCTATGGCTCTCCTTCACAGAAGATCGAGGCTGATAATTACACTTACAAAACAAATACCCAAAGAGATAATGGGCTTAATATAACCCATCAAAGACAACGTTTCAAAGGAAAAATCTATACTATTCTTTGTTTTAATATATAGTGTTGATGGCCCTCGTCCAGTTTTGGAAATTCCCCATTTCTATTGTGTTGGGGGGGGGCAGTCTGTCCATAGGACAACGTCCGCCAACGTTCTACAAGGTTGTACTCATTTCATCATCGTCTTGCTGGAGGAGCCAAAATGTGATTTGCACTTCCAACATTGTGTTCGTTTGTCGAGGGTTCTACGGCAGAAGCGACAACAACAAAAACACCCTCGATGTAACGATATTCATTTTCGATATTTTACTCGCTGAAAAATGAAATGTCCTTTTGCATTGCTGGCTATGATGTAATTATTGTTGTACCTTTCGATTTAAAGTTTTCGTGACTGCAGGGATTCATCTTCTTGGTTCTTTCGGTAAAGTCACGTAGAAGGGAAGTAATAAAATAATAAAAATAAAACATAATAAAATAAAATTCCTCTTGATAGTCAAATTCTTTCAACCCAGCTTAAATATACGCTCCAAGCGTGGTGGTGTTTCATTCAGACGCTGTCTCCCCGACAGACCTGGTCTTCACCTGAGGACGGCTGCTTGCGTTGTGGCCGAAACGTCGTTAGAATTATTTTATCATGTTTTATTTTTTATTATTGTATTACTTCCCTTCTACGTGACTTTACCGAAAGAACCAAGAAGATATTGTTGTACCCTCACAATTGTAGTAATGACTTACTCGGGAGGCGCAGAGAAGCGGTGGTTCGCCTGCTGTGCTTTGAACCCAGTGACCTAATTTTGTTACCTGGCCTTGGTTAACATCTAGTAGCAGATGAACAAAGGCCCATGAATTACTGGATCATTATTATGACTTTACAAAGTTTGTTCCACCGGTAAAAATTGAGGGTGATTAATACAGCATCACTGTTTGGTCTGCAAATATTTTTCAAGAACTTTGAACCTCATGGATTTCAGACTGGGTCCTAAGTTAAGGCCTTCATTGATTTTTTTTTTTATCTGAACTTAGCACAGACCTCACTTAGGGTTGACTCAAACTAAAATCACTGCCTCTATTGTGTCAG